GAAAAATTTTTATATAAATTTTTATTTTAAATCGAAAAAATTGGACAAAATGTTTATTTTGACTAGCTGTAATTCAGCGAGTTAATGACTTCATATGAATAAGTTGCACTATATGCCAAATTTATCAGATTTCAAGTCAAAAACTTGTGAAATTTTTGCGATTTAAAAAAAATAAATTTTTCAAACTATATTCTTAATGAAACCTTTCTTTTATAGATAAAATCAAAATAAAATAAAGAAAAATACCAGCAATTCATGAAATAAATTTGTGTTGGAAAACTTTTGGAAATTTTACCCACTTACATTATATGTTACGGCAAGGACAGACATTTTTCGTATATACAAGAATGCCAATAAATACGTTTGATTACATTTTGTCAAAAATTGAGCCATTCCTTGAATAACGAATTGCAAACAATTAAATAAAACGTAAACAACTCATCACAGCAAGCGATTCATCTTTCAAAATAGTACCGCACAGTTTCACGCTGACCGCCTGCACAACGTCTTCATCTTCGTTGTTGTTGTTGTTGTAGCGGCTACTAAACACCGCTCGGGTCGGCTCATCCATCAACGTTGTCGTCTGTTTCAGCTAAGGGGAGGCCCAGGTAGTGCGCGACTTCAACGGGATCTGTCCATAGCGACAGAGGCGTTAGCTAGGTGGGGTTCTGGGGGCATACGAAGAGGTGCCGTGAGTCGTATGGCGACTCTCCGAATGCCGGGCATTGGTTGGGCACATCCTCGTTTATTCTGCTCAGGTATGAGGCAGGCAAAGTTCTGCCCCGTCCAAGTCAGGTGGTTGTGTGCCCAGAATGGCATTCACAGGTCGAGAGTCTATATAACTCGAGACCGACTCCTTGTGAATGACGTTCAGGGCCTGTCTGTATGCAGTTGGGTGCAGCGGTTGTTTGATGAACCTCTGGACTTCGTCCGTCAGTTCGTAGAGATGTCTCCTGACGTACCTTGGCGAGGGCTCTTCTGCAAGCAGCTGTCTATTTGGGTGACCACGTCTGTGGCTCCCTACTAGAAACGGCTTGCAGAGCATTGTGTTGTGCTCCTTGATGGGGAGCATCTGAGCGTCATCGTGTAGGTGGTGTTGGGGCGACATCAGAAGGCATCCGGTCGCTGTCCGAAGTGCCGTGTTCTGGCAGACCTGTACCTTCATCCACTGCGTCCTGCTAGACCCGGCGACTACACGGGCGCTGCATAATTTAGAACCGGCCGGCCAATTGCCTTGTATGTTGCCAGCAACGTTTCTTTGCCTTTGCCCCAAGTGTAGCCGGCCAGCGACTTGAGAACATTGTTGCGGCTCTGTACTCTTGACTGACAAACCGAGCAGATTGTCGGAGGGACTAGGAGTTGCCGGCGGCTGTGTGTGGGTGTTGTAGTGTTCGTATGTGTGTCTATTGTTGTGTCATGTTGGGGTGTGGGTGTGTTGGTGTTGTGCTGCTTGGGCGAGTGACGGTTTGCCGTGGATGCGGTCTGATTCGCACAGCATGGGGCCACGAACGACGTGGTCCATTGCCGGTGCGTATGTAGGCCCGAGCAGTTGCGGACCCGTCACAAACATTGCACCTGACCGAGGTGGAGTTTGCATGCAATCGTCTCTAGCATACGCAGCAGGTGTATATTTCTGGCCCTGGGTTTGACTCTATGCCAGCCCTGAGCAGAAGGATACTCCCCATTGTCGAACAACGTTTAATGGATTTCGCCGACCTAAACGGGCTTAGATAGCCGAAATAACAGCCCTTGGTCGGGTAAACCCCGAGTCATTCCGGTACGTAGAACCGGCTGTCGTGGGAATGTCTTCTTCATCTTCGTCTTCGCCTTAGCTTGCACTGTTATTACTTTCATATGTTTACTACTGCACTCTTTTTGGTCTTCGACCTCGTCTTCATCTTCGGCTTGGCTTCCACTCTGTCTGCAACCTTAATCAAGGCCAGAGGCTGATACGAGATGTTGCCCGCCATACGAAGCTCGAAGCTCGAAGGCGAAATAGAGTAGAGCCTCCAATTCTTCACGGATTTTAGATTTTCCTCTTTTTTTAATAAACTAGACTGAATTCCTAAAAGATCGCTCAAACTCGATTTTTGAAATTTTATTTGTTTAATAATTTATTTATTTTTTTGCAAATTGCAGAGAAAGAGTCAATCGATTTTCCTGTTATTTTTAACGAATGTTCCCCCAAACCAAAAAATTTGCAAAAACATTAAAAATCAATGCGATTTCTTGACCATTTAAACAGTGCACTTTTCCATACTAAAACTTAATTGCATACCCAAAACTTTCCTCAAAAATTTTGTTTTGGTGACACTTTTTTATAACTTTTACCACTTTTTACACTTTTTTTAAATTTTACCATTGCATTTTTTTCGTTTTGAGGAAATCCTATAATTGTTTTTAACTAGTTTCTAATTATAACATTGATTAACAGGAGCCTAATCATCGATTTTCTTCAGAATTGCTAATTTCTCTGCGCTTGACATTAAAACAATTAATATAAACAAATAAAAATTTAAAAATCGAGGTCGAGCGATCTCTTAGGAATTGAGTTAAGTTTATGTATTTTAAAAGAAGAAAATCCAAATCGGTTAAAAATTGGAGGCTCTACGCTATTATGAACCCTCCGTTTTGGTTTCAGACCACTGTGCGACGGTATTTCAGTTTAAGTAACTCATACGCAGTGGCACACCATTTTCTTTGTTTAGAAACTGAACTGCACAAGCAAGTAAAAAAATGAAGTACAAATTATTTTTCATCAAACTGTTTTCTAAAAAAGATTTGGTAAATGACAATTCTCGGTTAGGTTCTTGCCTCGGTGTTGTAGACCCGACTGTCGCGGAAACCGTTGTTGTTGTAAAAAAATTAAAATTTAAAGGAAAAGCTTTTAGGAACCTGCCGAAGTGACAGTCCTTAGCCGTTCCCACGACAGCCGGGTCTACGCAACCGGAACGACCCAGATTTGTATATGGCCAAGGAATGTCGCTCTAGCAACAATCCCCAAAAACTCTTTGGGCAATTTGTATACGGTGCAGATTAGAGCGATACGATACGCCATATGATAGGCGATGCGATAAGCAATACGATATAAAAGCGACATCGACATGCTGAAAACTGTGCATACTTGCACTGCGGTGACATATGTATGTATATCGGTTGCGTATCGGCCGAGCTACACAGTTTCCTATCACTCCGCATATAATTCCTTCAAGCATCTGATCATCATTCCACATACGCTCTGTACTACTTCAGAATACCACAAACAAAAATATTTATTTTGAATAAGTTAAAAATCGGAAATGCTGTATGTAACAAATAATAGTTTATGGCAATAAAAGATTTCACATGGCTGCATATCTACAAATGTATTTATACATAAGTTAAATAAAACCCGGGCTTTCGTGTAAAAATAAAAATATAGGTATCAAAATTGAAGTGAAGAATCGGTTATACAAAATTAGCAAGGTCATTTCGTCACACTATGCTCGCATACAAAAGGCTAATCAAGTAACTGTGAGAACCATGAAAATGGAATCTTTTTTTGTAAGGCATAAAAACGCACAAAAAAATATAAACATACATGGCAAACATAAAATGCTAAATACTAAAGCGCTAAAAAAAAATGAAATGCTATAAAATTCGACATAAACAACGCTCTTAACCGAAGCCAATTGTACGGTACATACATACATATGTATGTGCGCCTAGAGCTAGAGAGGAGGCGGAAAGTCAAGGGTTAGCTCAGTTGCACGAAAGGGAACTGTTGGCTGCAACTCGATTTTGCATGCAATCATCGTGCCACCATATTTGCATAATTGCTTTTCGCTACACACTTACATAGAATACACACAACCACGCTAACATTCACGTATGTTTGTATATGAATGTATATATATGTATTTGCATGAAAATGTATGGTTGCACGCTTGCTTCCCTTGTAGGCAAAACACGTCAAAATGCCAGCATGCTGCATGCAAAGTGTGAAAGCAACACCAAAGGGATGAAAGGTATAACGAAAGTGAAAAGTGAAAAAAATGAGGAGAAAGGTTAGGGGAAATAAAAAAACAGGTCTAAAATACTACGGCTAAGGTCAGTGAGGCCGCGCACTCAGCTCGCTGGTTTAAAAGGAGAAACTGATAAAAGTGACAAATGTGCTTCGCAGTTGAAATATTTCGACTTTTGTAAGGGTAAGAGTGAAAATGTTATCCATTTTGTATACAAGAAACCTTCAGCCCGCACCACATGTTCATTGAGAAATGTTTGCAGCTTATTACTTTCGTTTACGATTATGACTTTTAATTTTTAATTTTTTATTTTATTGCACTAATATTTTCCTAGTTGATAAGCACATTCAGTTACGCATTACCAGATCTATCAGCAACGAGCGTGTGTAATTCAATGCAGATCAACGGAAATATATGGGTTTAAATGAATTCTACGCTCTTTTCGATTGTCTGTTACGTTTTGATAACAGCTTAAATGTTGGCGAGCGTGATATAGAGGTCATATGTGAGTATCTTCTATTCGTATTTTATGCAATGCTCTCACCGCTTGGTATTAATTTATACGAATGCTTTGCAGATTTTTGGTGCAGCGATTGCTATACCCATCCTTTTAACAATTGGGACAGACACGAGGTGTGTTTTTTGTGAAAATTAAAACGATATACGTCAATATTGGACAATATTGTTGGTTAAATAGCTCGTAGATTAATACTATTATGTATGTGCAAAAAAATATATATGTATATGTATATATGTAATACATATCTACATACATACATATGCACTTAAGTAGATAAATGATAAATATGTGCCTGATGCTCAAGGTCATAAGTATGTACATATGATATGATATGATAGATAGTTAATTGCTCGTAGCAACTGTTACATTCAAAATCATTACTTAGCCCCATTGACTGATTCATCAATGTTCCACAAACGCAACTACATACAATATACAAATAATGAGCATAGGACATCTATACAGTAGATACTCACCTTTTAGCACCCTCTTCACCTTCCATAAGTTGCTCCCCACTAACGCCAGCCGCATTCGCAGTTTGGTCTGCGCCTGCAGCTGGTGCTGTTGCTGCTGTAACGGCAGCAGCGGATGCTTCCGGAGCGGCAGCAGCATCCTGGGTGGGTGCAGGCACATCTTCGTCGGCTTGACCGCCTTTAACGGCGCCTACCAACGAAGTGAATTGATTTGTAAGACCAGAGAACATACTTGACCACTAGCTTTTTGTTTGCTTCTTTTACAAATTCCGTTTATTACAAAATATTTTCGCAATGTTGCACTTTCTGGCACACCAAACGATGAGTTTATGTATTGGTGGGAGTATGTGGCTCCAAGTAAGAAATTTTGTTGTTTCTAATCCAGACTCTTTGACGATGGTCTGATTATAAAGTTAAGGTAGTATCTAGTGCGTGGAAGAGCAACGAAAACGAATGGTGGTTCGCATGCAGATGCGATTTTGTTCTTATTTTTTTAGTTCGTTTGTGGGTGGTCGATTTGACACGCGCGTCACGAAATTTTTGGAATGCAAAAAGTAGGTACCCTGAATGAGAAAACAGGGGTTGTTTGTTCGCGTGTAGCCCAAGTTCTCACGAATCTCTCGCGTTTTACCAACACTTTTGAGTTGAGCACTACAAGTTTTTTGCACCTGAGTCGCTGTGGCTGTTGACTACTTTGCAGATTTTACTTTTTCAACGTTTTTCCAATTTTTTTTTTTACTTTTTTCAAATGTGAACTTTTCAATGTTAAAACGTTTATGGCCGACTTTAATTTGCGTTTACTAGTGCACGATAGTTACGAAATTTTCGCTTTTATTACCTTTCGACAGAAATCTTTGGCAAGGTGTAAGTGGCAATTTTTTCACTTTGTTTTATTGAAGAGCCAATTACAAATCGATAAATTTGGAAGTATTAATTTCAATCTGGGCTTTCTGAAACGAAATAGATATGACAAATATTAAGTAAAACCCGTTTTAAAAACGCTTCCCTTTTTTTACTTTAATGTTGTTTCAACAGAAACTTAATATTTGTTAAAAGATTTCCACACTTTAATCGATATTTCGCGCAATACGTTCAAAAACGCGTACTATAGTATATAGGATTTCTGAACTGTAGTTGCTGATATCTCTTTGGCCACTGCTTTACAATGCTGCTTTCTGACACAATATGGAACTCTTGACTTTAGAGACTATTCAATTTTTGCTTCCAACTTCGACGAAGGTCCTCTGAAAACTGTCGCTGCAAAGGAATTATATTTGCTCCAAAGCAATAGTTCGCTGCAACCGAGGGTTGTTGCCACGGACACTAAATGGCTCTTGTGGCAGAAAAATCTTCTCACATTGGAATTTCTGCGCAGCTATTCATGCAGACCGATGACAAATAGAAACTTTGGTCTTGTTTATGACGCCCACTGTGGGTGGTTTATCTACAAGGGATTTTTGTACGTGTACTTTGTGCTGGAATTTCTTTCAAGCTTTGATGTTTGCACGTGTGTAATAACTTTAAGCTGTGTTTAAAACGCACTATACCTCTTAAGAACTCGTTTAAAAACAAAAACAATTCCGAATTTTCAATTGTTAATAGAAATGCTATATTTACACAATTGGAATGCTAATTTTTGCTCCAACTTATTTTGTTGTGTTTATTTTTTCTTTCTAATCAGAATCGACAGGGTTGCATGCGCAGATAAAGTTTTTTCAGCAAAGCATAATCGATACATTTCATTACTTGAACATATCAAAAATGTTTTTAGTTACATAATTATTACATACATCTATGATAAAACCATGGCATATGTTTATAGAAGTAAACCATTCATTTTTCAGTGTACTTACCTTTTCGTTAAAATTTCGTTTCATGCGTTTTCATTTCAATATCTGCGTTAACATTTTATCGATAACAGATATCGTAAAGTTTCTTCATTACCCAGGGTCTTCACGTTGCGTCAAGTGGTAGCAGGCATGACTGCTTGGGAATGATGTTAATGAGCCCATAGTCTAATAGATCCACGGACTGAATATATTTTAAAAATTAAATTTATTGGCCTTATTCACGGTGTTATCATGGCACGCTATTTCCGGAACCACACAGATTTATTTCTTCCGAGTCTAGTGGCACTCCAAACATTTTTTTTTGGTGCTCCGAACTTTTAAAATTTTCAGCGGGTATCTGTGTAAATTTTACGTTACCACAAAAACAACTTCATTTTTAGATTATTCGCCCCATGTTTATTCCGGCAATGAATTTGATTTTTTATATTCTTGTCAAGGTCCGTCGGACACAGTAACTGGCACGATTATTTTGCTTTTTATATACCGATGCGTGAGTGGAAGAACGCCCCATGTTGTTGTTTTTGTTGTAGCAGCAAACAAATTCCCCAAAGAGTTTTTGGGGAGTGTTGCTGGAGTGACAGTCTTTGGCCAGATATAAATCTGGGTCGTTCCGGTTACGTAGACCCGACTGTCGTGGGAACGAAGAACGCCCCATCTCGGCCTAACGCATTATTTCAGAATTTGGTTGAAGAATGCCCATCTCAGCAAGGCGGCAGTTGAGGCAACACGTATTTGAACCAAATTCTGAGATAGGGCGTTCTTCAACAAAGTTCTAAGTTGCTATTCTAGTAGCTAGACAAATAATATTTAGCGCAATTTTATAACTATTCGTCTTCTTTATTCGTTCAACAATTAGTTGCGTGTGGCAAGTAGCTTAGATCAGAGACTGACTTTAATATAATGCACTATTCCGTTATTTAAAAGGGGAATATTTTGATGAGACAATCAGTAAATTGACTTGTCTTTTATGATTATTTACTTCAATGGCTCGGCTTCAGTGCGTAATTCGAAATCGTACGCTACGAATGGTACATTGGTGGCTATTATCACAGAATCCACCGTAGTCAGAATTTCTGAAAAATCTACGAAAAGACGATCACAGAATCCGAATCGCTCCTATCGTGTGTATTCAAAGTATACGCGTTTACTAGGAATCTGTGATAGTCCTGATTATACTCAAGCTAGCCTCCCGACTTAAGCTACTATGCCATACGACCACTGGGTTATATCTTAACAGTATAGTACATACCCGCAGTCTGAGTTTTTGCACAAACTAAATGTATTCATGAAGCAAAACAAGCAATTTAATATTTTTTTTTTATCTATAAAGGAACTTTGTATGAGTGAAAGTTGAAGATGTAATTATGAGTGGGATTACTATTCCTCAGCTTTCGGACATAATCTTTAACATATTTACAATATTTGTTTCAATTTGTACACAAAAACAAAGGGTAAACGCCACACATTCATCTATTGTCATTATTTGTTCCTTCCTCTGTGATGGCTTTTTTGTTTGCTTTGTTTACATTTTGCATTGTTTTTTTGCTTCGCTATTTCAAACGCTTATTTTTTCGACTTACGTTAAATTATTCTAGAAAAATAAACCTATTTATAGACACCTAAGAATTATGCACCACATCTTGAAAGCGTCATCATCCTTCACGCCATTGCAACTCATCGCGTTACATTTTGTTTCGATCGCGCTGCGTCCATTTGGTGTTTCAGCTCCTGGTCAATGCGTTCCTTAGCGCGAAACACTTTGGATTGCAGATAAAATGAGCCACCCTTCGATTTTTCGTTAACAGAAAAGAGATGTTCATAGTTTTTTACAATCCTCTCTAGATCATTTAAATCATCCAAATTTAATATTTGTTTCGCCTCTTCCAGTGTCATGCCTGCAATTCGTTTTAATTTCTCATTATTTATAGTAAGTATGTAAGAGATTTTAAAATATACCAGTTCTAGCATTAGCTTCAGCTCGCTTCTCGCCCTGCTGTCCGCCACCTCCACGTCGCGCCGCCTCCTGTGAAGCAGCAATCTCTTGCTTAAGCGCTTTCGCAAAAGCGCGACCGATAGCTTGTCCGCCAAGTACAATTATCTGTGCCAAATACTTAGCCATAATTTAGTCGCTGTGTAGCCCAAAGCCGCTAATAAGTCGCCTACGTTTTTTTTAGTTTCCGTCCAAAAAGAAATATTGTGAAATATATCGGCGGAGCCAGCAGTTCTATTAAATTGCCTGTTTACTATTTGACATTACACAATCGTTTCTAACCTCAAAAATGCGGTTGGTTGTCAGATGTTTTTTGGTACTGCCATTGCCAGTGTGGCTGCGTCGGTTGGTAGCTACAGGGTGTGTCAAAGTTTAGATAATGCGTATCGTTCGGGGGTTTTACTTTCGATGTGCTATTTTTGGCACTTAATTTTAAATAAAATTCTTCCGTTTTGTATGTTAAGTTGTACTGTCATTTATTATTGATACATACGTACACTTTTCATTCTAAATTTAATCGTAAATAATTTATAAAAACAAAACAAATTCTTACGCTACAAATTGTTTTACCAAATTTTTTAATTCGTATAATTTTTACATAATTAAATATTTTATTCTTTATATACAAAATTTAACACATTTAACTGCATAAATATTTAATAAAAATAAGAAAGATATTTAATACAAATTACAAAGATATTGAAAATCTGCGGCGCCAGTGGGTTTTCTGGCTTTTATAGTTCACAGAAATTTAAAGATTATATAAAAGCAATAAAAAGGCAAGAACAAAAAGGAGAATAAAGCAGTAGCTCAGCGATATTCTTTTATATTATTTTGGTCTGAAAATGAAGAACACAGTTTACTACATATTTTGTTTCTGTATTTTTGAAAAATTTTGCAAATAATTGCTTTATGCCCGATTTCCACTAGACATTGTGATGTTAAAAAAAAATTGGTGTCATTCAAAAAATGCCAAGTGGAAATGAAGTTAATGACATATATATTTATGATATATATATATGATATGATATATATATATATAACATTGGGCCACGAATAGTTCTTAATGCTCATATTTGCCATTCAAATTTTAGCCATTTAATGCCTAGTGGAAATGCAGCCTTAGAGTGGAACCGAACATCACCTTTTTTTTTAGGTGTTTAGAGCTTTTCAGCCTTTCAGCGTTTTATTCAGTTATGCGATTTATAAGCTGATTTATTGCTGACCACCAGAGAAACTTAGAATGATGAAACATATGATTAACTGAGCTAAAATAATTTCTATAGAGCGCAGAGTTTTTGACCCTATCGAGTAGAATAAAAAAAGCCGTGAGCACCAGGTACTCATAACATTTGATGTGCAAACATCCGCATACGCCTTGGCAAATCATTATGCGATTTTTCATATATTTTTCCGTATAAAAAACTGTGGCAAGAATTTGTCACTGATACAGAATAGAAGTTACATGCATAAATATATTAGTCGTGAACTAGCCCCGAAGTGATCCTCAGCTAGTCCCCAAGTGGTCCTAAAATAGCCCTGAACTAGCCTTTAAATGTCTATTTGTACACACAAGAACCAATAACAGATTTTGTGCTGGGTTAACGCAAATTTTACACATGCCCAGAGCTGAGAGCGCAGTTCCACAACAAGCTTTTCAAGCTTTCAGCGCTCTATTCAGCTGTAAGGTTTATATTACCACTTCAGCGCCAAAAGCTACACCACCTGAAAAGCTTGTTGTGGGGTTCCACTACAAAAGGTTTACACATCAAAAATAAGTTGAACTAATGAAGTTCTAGTAGAAAGAATTCACGAAAGCTTTATAGCGATAATATAGAAAATTTCAACTAACAAGCTTTTCTTTCAGCCTAAATCTTCCAACTTTCGAATCAAATGAAATTAAATCCATTTTGTTGAAAGCTCAAATCTACATCTATATATTGCCTCTTTTCATTTCTCGCTGCGCGCTCTCCAGCGCCAACAGCGCAATTATCCCTATGTCCCAACAAAAAAATTTGCCCTTTCAACAAAATCCCGGATTTGTATGTTCTATAACACAACGCTTGCAATACTTCTTCACCGCCCGATAACCCTCAATCGATATCTGACAATCCTGTATGTTCAGCTGCTGAAGACCGCGACAGTAATAGGCGATGCACTGCACGCCCCGGTCCGTAATCATATCACAATTCCGTAAGCTGAGCTTCTTCAAATTTGGACAACTTTCGGCGAGTGCACGCAGCCCCGCATCGCTGACATCACACTTGCCGATGTCGAGCGCGCGCAGGCGCGGACAGGAGTGAGCCAGCACAGTGATGGAATCATCGCTAACCGCTTCGCAGCCACGCGCATTCAGATAGCGTAACTTATAGCAGCGACGCGCGATCACCTTGAGGCCAGCATCGGAGACGCGATCACACTTCGCCACCGAGAGGTAACGCAGTATGGCGCCCAGTTTGGCGAGTTCGTAGAGACCAAAATCGGTAATGTTCACGCAATCGGATATGCTGAGCTCCTTGAGTGCGACGCAAAAGCTTGGCACGAATTTGAGGCCGGCATCTGAAAGGTTGGAGAATGTGTGAGCCTATGTTGTTCCGTTTGTGGCTATAAGTGCACGATGGTATGTAGCAGAAACTTACCTGTGATTTTGATACAGCGCCTAAGGTAGAGATAGACCAGCTGCGGACAGTTTTTCACCACGATCTTAAGACCTACATCGTCCAGCACAATGCAATCGGTAAGGTCTAAGTACTGCAGCAGCAAGCGACGTGGCTGTTCCAAGTTCGAATGTGTGCTGATGCTGAGCACTTGACTGCAGCCTGAAAAGAAAAT